GGAAACAGGAAGGGGCCGGCGGGGGCGTGGTGGCTACGGCTGGGCTCCCACCGCCAGACCCGGCGGCTTGCAGATGGCACCGGGCGTGTGTGAGAGCGTCCAGAAACCCTGGGAGAGCAGAGGAGGGGTGTGGCATGGCCATCCCTGAGGGCTGGTTCTCACTTCCCGTCTCCACTGAGCGCTTGTGCCCTAGGGCAAAAACGCGCGCGCGCGCACACACACACACACACACACACACACACACACACACACACACACACGGGGAAGGAAGTTGTTTGGGTGATAGGAAACCTGATGAGAGGCCAAGTTCCGATTTTCCGGGAAGAGTGAGGTAGCAAAAACGGTAAGCTCACGGGTAGACAGACCGCAACGTTTTCCTTTTTACTTTCTCAAACACACGCAGCACCCAACAGCTGCATCACAAGGTATGCGGGTCCGGGCGGGCACAGGACGCCACTCCGGGTGCCTAGCCAGGGCCTGACCCCCAGTGGGAGGGGCCGTCCCTATCTCATGACATCTGCCCGCCCCCTCGTGTAAAGGCTACTTCTAGGACTGACCCCCCACTACCAACGTGACATCAAGCGACTGGAAACATCTCTGGGCTTTAATGGCCGGCTTTCAGGAGCTGGCAGGAGTGGCTTCAGCGTGCCACCAAACGACATGGCAGGACTCTCCATTTCACACCAAGAGTTTGCCACTGCCTCAAAGCAGAGGCTGAGAAGTTAGAGGTGTGTACTGCGATCCCTGTAGCTCTGAGCTGGGCCCCTGGAGAACACACGCCCCTGTCCCGCAGGGCCCTTAGGGGTGGCTGACTTTGCTCCTGGGTCTCCGATCCCCTTTACTCGGGGACTGAGAAAACAGCCACATACTGTGTCCTGTGGCTCGCGTGCGAACACTGGGCGAGGAGGGCTGAGTAACAGTTTAGAGTCACCAGAATCACATGAGACTACGGACCAGCAGTGGGCATGCTGCACAGCTCTCCGGAATTCACGAGCATCTGAACATCCCCATCACAGGGACCAGCAGATGGCATAATGGCTATGTCGCTGGACTCCCACGTAGTCAACTGTGGCTCTAGTCCTGGACCTAGTGACTCGAAACTCACACCGGGGGCGTGTGTGTGCCCAAAATCCCAAGAGGAAAATGGTCCCCTCCAGGGGGTGATTTCTCACTTTGTCTCTGTCCCTCTGTCTTTCTAGTGAGTGCACACACTCTAAAACAAAAATCTCTCTTAAAAATAAAAAGCTCTCCGTCAGGAAAGGCGGACAAAGGGCTAACATTCGCGAGTCTCAGCTCCGGCGCATGCTGGGGCCCTGGCACGGCCAAGGGAAGCTCGCGGGTACTTCAGAACTTAGACTTCGCTGTAACCCTGTCTTCTTAGAATCACAGTTCTAACTTGTTGGGGCAGATTTTGTTTTACTAAGAATACAAGACATTTGAGATGCAGCCGAGCTTTCTTTCTTTTTTTTTTTTTTAAGAGTTATTTTATTTAACTTTACTTATTTATTTTAAAATCACCAGAAAAGGGACAGAGTAAGAAAGAGAAAGGGAGAGAGGGAGAAAGTGAGGAAGGAGGCCGCCAGATCCAGAATTTGAACCATGGCCAGTCACGCTGGAGTACAGCACCCTTAACCACCATGCCACCTGCTGATCCGTGGCCAAGCTATCTTTCATCATGACAAAGCTTATAACAAACACAAAAACCTTAGTGCCTAATAAAAAATAATTATTTAGGATTAAAGAGCTTCAATTTTAACTTACAGTATGGTGGTAAACATTTATAGAAAAAAGCCATATAAATGTGTGTTCTTTGGAGCCCCTAATTCCTTTTTTCTTTTTAAGAATTATTTTATTCAACTTTATTTATTTAACCAGAAAGTGACAGAGTGGAGGGAAGAGTGAGTGAGGATTCAAACCACCAGGTCTGGGACTCGAACCACCACTGACCATGTGAGCCACTAGCTACCTGCTGGCCCCAGGAGCCCCTAACTTCTAAGAGTGAAAAGGGGTCCTGAACCAGGAAGTTTCAGAACTACAGGTAGGCAATCTGCAGTTTAATTACGTTTAAAGAAATGATACTTTCGGGACCAGCAGTTAGAGTAATGGATATGTCACTGGACTCCCACGTAGTTGACTGCAGTTCGCGTCCCGGACCGGGCAGCTTAAAACTCACGCCGGGCGCGTGTGAGTGCGTGCCCAAGATCCCGAGAGGAGAATGGAGGAGAAGGGATTGTGGCGTGGCCATCCCCCCGGGGGGTGATTTCTCACTTTCTGTCTCTCTGTCTTCCTCTGTCTGTCTGGAGGGCGCACGCGCCCTACAGCGAAAACCTCTCAAAAAAAAAAAAGAGACTTTCTTCACCATCTCACATAAAAACGTCTAAGGCTGGTCTCACCGCTCAGGAGTTAAGGGAGCTGAATCCCACATGACTGACCACTGTTCAAATTCCAATTCCGGCACCTTCAAAAACACTTGGGCACGCATGTGCACAGCCCAAAGTCCTGAAAGAGGAAAGAGGAAACAGACTAGAGTGTGACCACGCCCCACTGGAGGCTACCTCCTCCTTTCCCCTTTCCTCTCTGACAAGTATACACACTCTTGCCAAAAAAAAAAAAAAAAACTTAAAACATTTTTTTGGAGAGGTTCTGCTATAGGGTACATACGCTTCCCAGAAAGAGAGAGAGAGACAGAAAGTGAGAAATCATCCCCCCCAGGGGGATGGCCATGCCACAGTCCCTTCTCCTCCATTCTCCTCTAGGGATCTTGGGCACACATGGACCAGTGACATAGCCATTGTGCTAACTGCTGGACCCAAAATGTGTAATTCTTCAAAATCCGAAGAACAGTCACAGAAGTTCTCTCACTAAAAGTACTGTTAAGAGTGGTCTGCAGCCCAGTGATGGGATGCGCAGGCCCAAACAGAGTCTCTATAGGTGGGGGCCACACAGGGAGCCTAAGCTCAAAGCCGGACCCAGCCTACGGGCGGCGCGGTGGCCTGCGTCCATAACCCCAGTGACTTGGTGAGGCTAAAGTGGGAAGATGACAACACGGTGAGACACCGCTGTCAGGAAGAGAAGGGCTTTCCGCCTCTCTGCTCAGGAGATGCTGGACCCGGGGGTGGTTCCCAGCTGCCGGCCTGTGCCAGCGTGCACGCCATGGCTGGCAGTGGGGAGGGAGGTGGCGTCACAGTGTGAGACCCCGTTGAGAATGCTTGTCTCTCAGTTTCTTTCATAAAAGACACTTTTAAAAAAAGCACTGTGTGGCTTACTGGGATGTTCGAGTGCGAGGTCACCTGAGAGCGAACCTAACAGTCTCACTGGAGACCCGTCCTCCGTGGAGGCTATGCCACAGCAGCAGCTGGAACTCACAGGCACCCAAGCACAGACCAGAGAATGACAAAATCAGCCACGTTTTGAAATTACTCAAAAAACATGAATGGAGGAGCCTGGACACTACATCTGGAGGAAAAGGGACAGTGATGGCAGCCAGCCTGTGAGATGGGGGCGTACAGGGCACAAGCTCCCAGGCTGGACCATGGGTACAGGAAGCTGCACGTCACAGGTACTTCTCCCAGGCAAAATCTGGAGTGGACAAGTCCCTACACATAGGTCCCTCTGACCCCTCGCTGCACCTTAGGACTTGACGGAAAGACAGCCTCTCAAGGGGAGCCTAAGAATGAAGACCGCTGGGAGCTCACGGGGTCATTCTAAGGGGCGAATGGGGACGAGGACCCTCACGGGGATGCAGCGAGG